AGAAGTGTTCAAAGCAGCTGTTTAATGCTGAGTTCAATCATGTTCAAACCAAAAAAGTGATAAACAAAGTGAACATATGATATATTAAAATAAAGAGAAAATTGGAAAAAGTACAAAACTAGAAAGAAAACCTTTCTAGAATTGCAGACCAGTGATCATAAAAGCATCTTTATAAAATGCATGTGCATACCATGTGACTACATACATCCAAGTACATTACTTTGGATGGGTTGCTTTAAAAGTTTGGTTTTCAAAAAACAAGACATAACACAAAACCCCCCAAAAAACAACAACAACAAAAAAGCAAAACAAAACAAAATAAGGGCCGGGGATTTAGCTCAGTGGTTCGGTGGCCTGCCGCAAGCGCAAGGACCCGAGTGCAATCCCCAGTACCAAAAAATAAAAAAAGTTAGCTTTTATTACTGAGAAAAACATATGGTGAGAACTATGAAACTTAACTATGAATCAGTTATCTATTTAGCATAACTACATTTTCTTCTTGATATTTAGCATAGTTTATAGATTTACATTTAAAGGAAAATGCATTAAGCAAAGTTTCTGTTTCACAAATATATTAGTATTTTTAATTGCAATCCTAGATTGACTTTACTTTCAAACTACATAGGGTGCGATATCAGCTGGATAGCTTTCTAGCTACTATAACAATTATATCCACTGCATATGAAATAATGGTTAGATAGCAAATTGTACATTGTGTTTTATGTTGTTTCAAAGAAAAACATATTTCAGTTATTTCAATTCAAATTGTACTAAAGAAGTCTCAAAATGTGCTTATTAATTTTATGATAAAATAAAACAGGATAGTTAACATGTTAAAAGGAGCAATTAATTTCAATTCTCAAAAGATGTGAAGCAAAATGAAATATAATGGGATTGTGTATAGGAAATGCATGATTAATAAAAAATAAAATCTGAGCTATACTGATGAATATAAATTCAGTTAAGTCAGGGAATTAACTGTAAACATTTCAATTTAACTTTCAGTATTTGACACTATTCTTTATAATTTGGTTCCCCTCTTCTTTCCTACCGTATCGTATACCCTTTGTCTATAGGTATGTTGGTCTTGTTTATGCCACGCCTGAAACCATGAAGTCTATGAACTAGTACTCTCTGCATTTCCTTCAACTTTAAAATTCTTCTTATTCATTTGAATAATTCTTATAATTACATCAAGTTATAAATGTATTTATTAAAGTGTAAAGCATATTTGCATGATGTTAAATAGTACAGTAAAATTATATTTGATACATTTATTATTGTAAAAATTAGCAAACTTTAAATATAGCTGTAATTGCTCACTATTGTACATTACACAGGTGCTCCTAATATGCATAGAAATAAGGCAAAAAGAACTGAAATTCTAAGGTCAAAAATGGAAAGATGTTTTTTAAAATGGTACCATTATTTGTAAATGTCACGTGCGTCTACACTTACAGCCCAAAATAACCACCACCTATGTGATTTTAATTAATAAAAAGTCTTGGAAACAGCCCATTTGCCCATCCGTTGGAACCTGGATAAAGAAGATGTGGTTTTCTATAAAATGGAATATTACTCAGTCATAAAGAAAGAGAAAATAGATTCATTCATAGGAAAATGGATACATATTGAAGATATACTCCTAAGTGAAATAAATAAGTCACACATGTGTAAATACCGAATAGTTTCCCTGGTGTGAATAATCTGCAACAATGCATAAGATTCTAATAAGATTACTGACATTTAGAAATGGGAAGAAAGGAGCTAAAGGTTAGGGAAGGTGGGATGGGTAGGGGAAGAGCAAAAAGGGCAAAGAAAAAAATGTGAGAGAAAGAAAAGATGAAAATAAAGTGTTTGAAGATGGGGAGGGGAGGAGGGGGTGAAGGGAGGGCTGGGGTAAGGGAAAAAAATGAGAATCAAGACTTGTCATGTAGAGGTACAAGATCCCAACAATGAATGTAACTGTACTGTATCCCTAAAATGTACCAATAAACTCAATTAAAGCTGAAAAAAAATTTAGACTATTTTTTAAAAATTTAAATTAATATAAAATACTATCATATCTGACATCAGCTACTATTGTAGTGTAATGAGATAAAATACATAAAACAACAATATAATGTCATTTTTCTAGGATTTACAATTTAAAAATCTAAGTATAGAATTATGAATTCATTGGAAATTTTAAATAGAAATGAATAGAAATTTCACCACAAAGTGAAAAAAATAAATGGAACATAGGCATTAAAAATGTAAATCATTTCAAAATAAGTAAAATGAACATTTGCCTGACAATGAGATATCACTTAATACCATTAAATTTGATAAATTATTCAGACAACATTATAGGTTGACAAGGATATAGAGTAATGGGGATTCTATCCTTTTTGGGGGGGGTACTGGGATTGATCTATCCATTATTGATTGAAATGAAATTGTTAGAAAATTTATGAAAAATAAATTTTAAATATTCATTCTCTGGACATGCAAATCTATTTTTTTACAAATATATTATTAAATAAATACTACAATAAAATATTATTTCTGCTGCAGTACAAACCACAGGGAGTCTTACCCTAGTATTATATAGAGTAGTTCAAGCCTGGAAAGTGTCCAAATGCTCAAGAGGAGGAGAAATTAAACAATAAAATTTAAACAATAAAATGAATCAACTAAAGTTGCATAAATTGACATGGATAACTCTTAAAAAGTAATTTTGACCTCAAGACAAAATTAGTAAAATATGACTCAATTTTTAGAGAAAGTTCAAACACAGGCAAAATATAAACAGCCTTTATGGATGAATACTCAGATGGTAATTACTCAGGAGAAAAATAATTAAACCCAAAACTCAAGTTTTTGAGGTGATACAACAGCACAAACGATCCTTCTTCCTGACCTGGATGTGTGATACACTGACTTTCAAAAATTGTTTACTCTGCCCCTGTGTGTGTGTTGTGTGTGTGTGTGTGTGTGTGTATCCATATGTTTGTGTGTATGTTTTAAACTACTTGTTTATGATATGGCACACAATATAAAAATAAAGAAATCTAATCTATTGCATCTTTTATATATTTCAATGAATCATATAAAAGTCATTTATAAACTTTTAAATTGAACAAAAAATTTTTACTGAAATTTTTTATTATCACCTACTTCCTTTGTCCATTTTCTTTTGGTCCAAAACCTATTGGTATAGGCAAAGATTGGTATACTCATACATGTGAAAGTAATTTATATGGATTAATAAATACTAATATAATTTGCTGAGTTTATAATGTGATCAAATAATTGCCTAATCATTTTGCAAATATTATCTGTACTCTTTAGGGCAATTCTGCTTATAAATATCAAAAACATAAGCTTATCTGCCTATGAGCACTGGGGTACATAGCTATAATTCCAGCACTCTGGGAGTCTGAGGCAATAGGATAAAAATAAATACAAAAAGATAGGATTTGAATTCAGGTATGTCTCTCTCCCATATATTTCTTTATCATTACCAAATATTGTGCAAGTATCATTCTTTGATGTTAGGCTGTGAGGTATAATATAGCATTATAAGAATTGTCTCTTTAACGCTACAAATTACCAGTTACTTAAAAATTGATAAATTTTAAAAATTCATAAGGATTCAATTTTATTTTACTTTTTTCAAATTTGGGATAATAATATCTACTAAAGTTGTTCTGAGGTCTAAATTGTATCTAGTACAAAACATGCATCCAGTAAATTATTGATTATTTTGGTTTTACTTTGTAGCAGCTTCACTTGGTAATACTATTTGATCATGTCTAAAACACATCAGCATCTTCAAGTTAGAAAGAGGATGAGATGTATGGATTAATACAGGGCTGGTCACACCAAAAGAAGCAAAAGACAAGAGGATTCAAGAAGATGTGGTCAAGATGCAAAGATAATGAAAGCTAAAGAAGGTTGGTTCTTTTAATATCTTTGGGATAAACTGCTTTAATGAAATTGAGTGGTGAGATTTATTTGGAAAAAGAAGACAAGAGAAGAAAATAAAAGAAGACTAAGTAAGTCAGTTACAACTGACATATAGCAGCCATGTGCAATTCCATGACCATTCAAACACCTCTTTCCAATTCTCCCGAAGAGTGATTTAGGAGGAAGTGTGGCCTAGAGAACCCTAGGCTGTGGGAAGTTAATAGTTATGTTGCTGATTTCAACCACATACAGTGTCTCAGTGATGTTAAAATGTCTCCACCAAAAAGTAGCTGTTCTATTTCTGTGAAATCCTTCTGTGAAAGAGGAGCTCCACTTGCCAAATAGTGGAATGTGGATTTTCTAGCATATGTTTTTCACTTTCTCTGGATTTCTTGTTATATGCCCTTTTGCATCTTTGATTCCAACAACCTAGTTTTTCAGTCTTTCTAGAATGATGAATCCTTTTCTATTACTCTGTCTTCTAATTCTAATCCAAGTCTACAGTCTTCTTGCATGTGTTCAGACTTTCTTGATTGCATGTAACTGCCTATTTCTTTTCTAAGAATTTCCAACCTCAGGTCCCAGGTGCTAAGACTTACAGACTTGCTGCACCCTCTTGCAATGACTAGAAATTGTGGTACCCCTTAGATAATTTGCATTGTCTAGCAGTTGTGGTAGCCTTTAGATACCTTACAATGTTGTATGCATCAGCTCTAATAAGTAAGTGAATCATGCTCAAAATACATAACCTCCAGGTTGTGTCTCATTAATAATTCTGATATGTCCCCAGATATTACTGAGAATGAATTTGGGGGGAAAGCATTACATATATTTCTAAAATTTTAATGATCTCTTCTGCAATTTATATTGGAAAGGATATTCATTATTTGTGTTTTTCTGATTTTAAATTCATTTAATTCTGTCCAAGCTTCATCACTCATATTTCCAGAAGGCAGCATGCAGAAGAAATACTGATTCAAGAAACTTTAAGTGAAAATGAGATGCTGCAGTAAATACAGTAGCACTTTGGCTTACATTGAACTCCATACCTGAGCGCACAGCCTCTTTCTGAATGCTCTCGTAGTCATGCCAGTCCTTTCTTCTCAAACCATCTGTCCATGAATAGAATTGCCCATCTCCCAGGCCCAGTGGGAATGTCTGTGGAAAAGGAGAGTATTCAAGCATAAAAAAGAGGCATTTCCTTTTGCATGGCAGTTAAACACAGCCAGGTACATAACAGGCAAAGAATATTTGTTAAATAAGTGAGTCCTCTGAGTATAGTGGAAAGAAAACTATTGCTAATGACTAGATAAACAAACACTTTTAAAATCTTTGTTGTAAACCTTTAAAATGAGAGCATCCCGTTCCCACAACTTCACTATTTCTTATTTTGTTTTACCCAAAATAGTTAGGAATTCACTGTTTCTTCTCTTCTCAGCATAAAACTCAAGCTATTTTATTTGCCCAAAACATAAATATTGATAATGCTAAATATTTTGGCTTTAAATTAAATTAATTTTGTTTGCAAATCGTGCAGTTTCTTTCATTTTGACAATACATTTTTGAATGGCTTTTGAATAATATTACTAGTCATTCATTGAATATTCATAATGTACCAGGTACTGTATTAACTACCCTGTGTGTAGAAGCTTGTTAAGCTTGTTTAATATATATATTGGCTTATAAATCTCCACTTCTCTGTAATTAAACGGAGGCCTAGAAAATTCAATAATTTCAATTAAACTACAGAGAGCAAGCAAGATTTGGGCCAATTTTGTTAAGACTGAAATTGAATCTTAGTAACTACTAAGTGCTGTATTCCATCTAACTTAGGTACTGTATTCTGCTAAAGTATAGTGTATATTTATGCTTAAAATAAAAATTATCTCCCACTTATCAGCTGTAGTTATAACAAATATTTTATGTTCTTCCTCAAGCCCAATATATTGTGATGTTAATGTGAAAATCATTTTTATATGCATTGCTGAAGCTATCCCTTTTCATATTGTTTATTTTTGGAAGCAAGAAATAAAAATTATTTTGAATGAGATTTATCTTCACAATATTGATATTCAACGTAATGTAAAATATTTGCTTCACATCCATATTACATTTTTTCTTTTTTGTTGTTGTTTTGGGGGGAGATTCAATAATATAAATACACTAGGAAGAAAATTTATTTTTTAATTTTTAAAATTAATTTTCTTGGTACATTTAAGGTATACAATACAATGACATTCGTCACTGGAAATTTGCACCTTTGCATAATCCGTCTTGGTTCTTATTTTTCCCCATTCCCCTGCCCTCCCTTCAACCCCTCCACTTCTCCCTATCTACAAAGACTTTGTTTCCTTTTTTCTTTTTCTCATATTAATTCCATTCCCATCTTTCTTTTCCCTACCCCTCCCACTTCCCCTTCCCCTTTGCACATTTTCTCCCTACTTCACATTATCTATTAAACCTTCTAGTCCTTATTTAGACTTTCAGTTTTCCACTCTAGAAAAACTACCCGATATTTACACGTGTCCTATTTATTTCATTTAAGAGTATTGCAACTAAATGTGCATCCATTTAGCTATAAATGTCTCTAGCTTCTCATTCTTTATGGCTAAGTAGTGTTCCATTTTCTAAAAAAAGTAACACAGTTTCCTTATCCTGTCTCCTGTTAAAGGGCATATGAACTGCTTCCAATTTTTAGCTGTTATGAATTGTGCTGCTATGAACATAGGTACACATATATTACTGTGGTATGACATTTTTAATTCTTTGGTAAAGATACCCAGCATCGGATTGCTGGGTCAAATAGGACCTCCTATCCTACTTCTTTAAGGTAATCTCCATACTGATTTCCTTAGTGGTTGCACGGAAGAAAATTTTAAAAAGCAGTAAACAGTGAATGCAATCAAAAGATGAATAATTTTAGTGAAATTGTATTACAATGCAGTTTTCCAAAACAAATAAACTACCATAATTCTTAGTTTTAGACAATGCAGTCATTATGCTTACAAAAATTATTTATCATTAGCCCATCTTTATAGCTTTCAAGGATAATTTTTTGAAATTGTAAATATAGGGCATATTTTTAAAAAGTATTTTAAAATCATACAAAAGATTTTCAAAACAACATGAATATTTACATATTTTTATGATTTTTGTTGCTCATTATGATGGCAACCAACCCCAGTGGGAAGAGGACCAAACAGAAAGACAAACACACAAAACTATATGATAGTTTTATATAAAATATTAAGAGTAATGCCAAAATTTAAAAGGAAGATAAAAGATATGGACAAACAAGAAATGAATATAGTAAAAACAGAGGAAATTTAAAAAATCATTGGCAAATATATAGCAAATATTTTAGAAAAATCAGGCTATTTTTAGATATTTGAAACTTTTTCAAAATCAGTGAGAAATATATAGTGAAATGATTTTTGCTTCAACCCTCAACGATGAGCTTATACTGGTAAATATTGAATACTAATAAAAGTGTCCAACATTGATATGGATAATCCCCATTTACAAGCAACTCCTGACATAAAATGTAGAAGTATTCTTGTGAATTTCAAGCTCTCTTTGCTTGCCAGATGTATGCTATTTCCCCTGTTTTGGTATATTTAAGGTACAGAATTTTTAGAAAGTGCTAAAACAAGGTTCATTGAACACAAATGCTATTTACTTTCTCCAGAAACTAACTGAAAATAACAATAAAGTGTCTGATGCATCAGAAAAGCAGATGAATTGACATAAACTTCCTGTAAACCGCTGAGAATACGGGGAAAACAGCAGATATTTTTAAGCACTGAATTTTGAAAATACTGAAGAATTTGAGACAGTAGGTGTTTCTGAGGATGGGGTTAAAAAGGTGAAAGAAACAGTATTTTTTGTAAGAGGCAGCTGGACTGTCCTGGATTTATACTCCACTCTAATGAGGTGATTTTGAGGGTCATTCACTGTACTCTCCAGCCACGGAAGATTGGAGTCTGAGAGAAGTATGTTCTTGGGTTGTCAGAAACAGCTGAATATAAGGGTGCCAAGCTGGACTGAAAATGAGGGTTTTGTGACAGACTCTACATCAAACATGATTAATGAAACTATCTTGCTTCACCAGACTTCCAGAAAGCTGCCAGCCTGCAACTTACGTGATTAGACAAAAGACAGAGAAATTCCTGATGGAGAATCAGAATCAAAAGTAAGAGCTATGGTACTGGCTCCTTGAGCACACTTAGTAACTATGCATGCGAGTACTTTACTTATAAGTATCAACAGGCAGCCAAGATTACCAGGCATTTGAAAGAACTCTTAACATAAAATTAAGAGGCCAAAAGTTAAGGAAAGACCAAAGGAAACAGAAGAAAGTTACAGGGCAGAAAACTTCAAAAAAATTTCCAAAAAGAGGTTTAAGAAATGTATTTCCTTAGAAATAGAAACTGAAAAAGCAAAAAGAATTTAAATGATGTAAACAAGCTCTTGAAAAGTTGAGGTCACACAAACCTTGCTAATAAATTGAAAAACCAAACAAAAAAACCAGGAGAGAGAGAGAGAGAGAGAGAGAGAGAGAGAGAGAGAGAGAGAGAAGGGAGGGAGGGAGCGGGAGGAAGGGAAGGGAGAGAGAGAGTAGCTTAGGAAGTGGTGTCTGTAAAAAGAAAATAAATAAAGACACTAAAAAGATAGATAATATTGCTTTAAAATCTATACTGGGAGAGTTCTTTCAAAATGATTAGAAGGAATTATTGATACATATTAAAACTAAGCAAATAAAAGTTGTTCATTTAGTAAGATTAGAAGACAAAAAAATACCAGAAAGAAAGGGCAACTATAGGTCACTATTATATTTAAGTATGAATGATCTAATACAAACATAGGCTAAACAAAAACTCATGCTATTGCTATACTAAATGTTAAGACAAAGGGGAGGTTTAAGCTAGTTAAGTAAACACTGTAAATTGTAGGAAATCAGTAGACAAATCCAAAATGGCTAAACATTAAATTATAACAGTAATATGCACATAATCTACAAATATGGAGGCATAAAACATAATAATGATAAAAGATTCACATAGTTGCTCAAGCATTTGATATTCCCAGTATGGAAAAGGGCAAGGAGATTGCTAGTTAACGTTGAAGATGTGTTGTTTCTTTCTTTATAAAATGGAGTACTATTCATCCATAAAGAAGGAGAAAATAGAGATATTTATAGCTAAATGGATGCATATTGAGGCCATGCTCTTATGAGCAATTAATAGGGCACACATGTAAATACTGAATAGTTTCTCTGGTATGAAAAATTAGAAAGGTAAATAAGGATCAAAATGTATAATTGCTATTGCATAATAGGAAGAAAAGGTCTAAATGACTGAGGGAGAGGTAAGGGAAAGGTAAGAAGGAAAAGAAAAAATATGAGAAAGCCCCCCCAAAAAAAAAAAAGCAAAGAAAGAAACAAAGGCTTTGTAAACAGGGAAGGGTGGAGAGTCTAAAGGGAGGCCAGGGCAGTGGGGGAAAAATAAGAACCAAGACCTGTCATGTAAAGGTACAAGATCCCAATGATGAATATAACTGTATTTTATACTTAAAACATAAAAACAATCTTAATGGGGAAAAATCACAATATTCATAGTATTACTACATTTAAAATTGTTTCTAAATATTAATTTTTATAAAAATAAATATCAAATTATTGGCTATTCTTGACCATTATTAACACTCCAACAAAATGTGTTGATATCATAAGAATATTATACCTGGCATCTTGGAGCATGCCTGTAATCCCAGCACTCTGTGTGGCTGGGTAGGAGGATCTTAAATTCAAGCCCAGCCTGGGCAACTCAGTGACTTAGGGAGACCCTGCCTCAAAATTAAAATACCTAGGGATGTAGCTCAGTGTGAGGGCCCTGGGTTCAATCTCCAGTACTGTGAAAAACAAACGAAGAATTATAATCATAGAGAAATCAGATTAAAAACCATTTAACACTATACTTTAATAAAAACTATCCGAAGACTTGCTACACCAGTATCTCTTCTATACATAGCACCTCTCCTCACTAAATTACGTGACAAGGTTTTAGGATAATTCCCCAGTCAAAATTCATCCTTATTAAATTAGAAACTTTACGTAGAAGAAAAACACAGAAATCTATTTTAAATTCTATAGATGATTT